AACATGAAACATTATTACGTAAAATGAATATCATTACACGTGATACACCAGATGGTTTATTACTTGAATTATTAATTAATAATTCAAAATATTTTGATCAACGTGGTTATGAATCAACTGTTAATCGTTCATTATTATGGGGTGATCTTGAAATAAAAACTGATCCAATAACATCAATTGAATATATTGAATATAAACGAACACCACCTATATCAACAAATAAAGATTCAACAACAAATGACATACCAATAACTAATTTACGTGCTTATGCAATATCATCACATCCAAATGAATGTCCAGTTGTTGCATTACGTCTTTTATCATATCATCGTCCACCACAATGTTCAAATGCTGATGCACCATTCTATCTTGTACCACGTACATCAGCTGATCAACGTGTTTGGTATAAAACAATACGTGCTGGTCGTCATCGACTTGATTTATTACTTCAACAAGCTATGCAAAAAGCTGGTATTAATGGAAAATTTTCTTGTATGAGTTTAAGAAAAGGAAAAATCAAAGGTTTACTTATTCCAACAACGTCTTCAAATGTTACTTCCATAACAAATTTAGATAACTCATCAACATCAACATCACCATCAACAAATGACGAAAAATCAAAAATCAATGCAATATCACCATTATCAATAACAGAACAACAACAACAATTATCATCAACACTGAATAATCATAAACGAACAACAAGTTCAACATCAAATTCTAATTGTTCAGAATTACTTGATTTATCATCTCACAATAACAATAATAATAATAATAATAATAATAACAATGGTGTAATTAATTTAGCAAAAAAAATAAAACGAGAATCAACACCACCATCACTTTTATTACCAATGCCATGTTCTGTATTAGTAAGACAAAATTGTTATTTCATATGTAAAAACAATTTTTTGTTCTAATGTATTTATTTAGAATAATGGTACAAATTCTAATCATCAACATTTAACATCAATGCTTCCACTTCAACAACAATCACAAAATCATCCACAACGTCCACTTGTTACTGCTGATGATTTACCATCATTAGTTGCTCAAACACCAACATCAGTATCAATATCATCCGCTAATAATAATAATAATAATAACAATAACAATAATAATAACAATAATAATAATAATAATAAACGTAAATTAACATCACATGATACGTTTACAGCACTTTATTCAGCGGCACATTCAAAATCATCACGACAATCAAAAATGAATGTTTTACGTAAATATCTTGAAGAAACACTTGGTCTTGTAGAATTTCTTACATTATATGAATATTTACGACGTAATTCCCATATTAAATTACAAGGTACACCTATTGAACATTATGAACATGTTTTACCAGTTTTACTCACATTACTTATGCTTGAAAATACAGCATAAAAGCTTTTCCTTTCCTAATCGAGTTCTTATTTGTTTTATTTCTTTCTTCTTTATTATATTTGAATTTTAACCAACAAATCCATTCCACTCAGTCAATTATTCTCAAGTGAAATGATCATGCATGTATGTGTTCTTCTAGTCGTTCTTTTAATCCATTTTTTTTCTCTTGTTTTTGTCTTCTTGATTTTTTTTTTAAAATCTGATCTTAATGTCTTATTTCATTCCGATGTTGTCTTGTGTTCCATTTCGTTGTGTCATTCCAAGTTTTCTTTTTTTAATATGTCTGTGTATGTTTTTCTTTTTGGTTTTTCCGTTTTTTTTTTTCTTTTCGGAGTGGTGCGAGCGCAAGCGAGAGAGAGAGAGAGACTTTGTGTGAGAATGAATGATGTGATTTGTATAGAAGAAAATATTTCTGTGGGAAATGTCAAGAATGAAATTGAATAATACACATACCGTTGACAAAACCAATAACTGCACTACCAGCATTCCGACCATCCATTTCACCAATTTCAATTGGTATTGAACTACCTGAGAAATTAAGAAAGACAAATGAGACGATAATATATTCAAGAACGAAATAAAAAAAATTTGAGTTTTTAATTTCATGATTTTATATATTATTTTTTTCCTAATATAGAATATGTTTTTTTTTCTTTCTTCGATTATATCAAATATCGATAACTAAATGAATCAGTTATGCACAAAAGTCTTGACATTTCATTTTTCAATTAAGAAAAGGAATTGATCTTTTAAATATAAGTCATTGATATGTAGAATGATATATGAAAGATCAAAAAAAGAACGAATATTATTATTCAACAAAGAATATATATCTTTTCATTAATATTATTTTATAAAGTTTATCATGATATCAATTATGAAAAATATTCATACAAAAATCTATTTTAAGAAAAATATTTTCTATAAGATAAAAATTATTTAACTTACAAAGAATAATATCAGCACCACAATTGAGTGCTCCAGTAATCAACATTAATATTGAATTAATAGTTATGCCTGCTTTAGCAAATGTTAAAAAGAAAAGAAGAGTACCAGCACTAAATAATGTTTCAGCAGCTGCACCAAGACATCCTTCATTATTGAAAAATCTTCAAATGAAAGATAATAAATATTATTAAATTATAAAATAAGATTACCGTTTAAGAACTAATCCAATTGTAGCACTTCCAACAACTCCACCAACATCAAACATTGTTGAAAAGAGACCAGCATCAGATTTTGAATAATTAAGCTAAATATTAAAGTTTCAATATACATTACTTCTCTTTTTATTTCTAAAGAAAAATATTCAAATTCAATTTACTTCTTGTTTTAAATATAAAGGAAGCCATAAATAAATAGCATATCGAACAACTTTCAAACAAAATACAGTTGCAGCTATTTCTTTTACCATTCTAATAAATAAATAATTATTTTAAATAGATTAAATTATTTTTTGAAAAACTTACGGCAAACGACATACTTCCATAATTGTCATTCTCGAACGTAAATCAGAAGTTTTTGCTACTGATTCTATTTAAATGTAATTTTCTTTTTTCTTAGTTAGACGATTGTTGAAAATTCATTTTTACCTTTTCCTGCAACAACCATTTTTAATTCAGATGGTTCTTGAAAAAGAAAAAGAACTACCAATCCAGCAATGATCTATACGAAAATTTTCTTTTGAATAATGATTAAAAAAAAAATATATATATATATGTATAGAAATATTCACATACACAATAAATTGATGGTTGAAAATGAACAAAACGCCAACCATCTTTTCCTTGAATATAAACCTATCAAAAGGCCAAAATGAAAAAGAAAATGAATAGATTTATGTTCAATTAAGAATTTTCTTACAGCAAGTGCAGTAGCAATTATACCACCAACAAATGGACATGTACCAAAGAGACCAAAGATAAAATTACGTTGAGTATCAGTTACCCAAGCACCAAGACCTTTATTAGCTGCTGCCCAGCATAATGACTAAAAGTTATTATAGAAAAAAAAAATATATATTTGATTTTTATATAATTAGTTTCTCTTTTTTTATTTTTTACTTGAAATGCACCATTGAGAAAAAGTAAGAAAAGAAAAATTCCATAACTATCCCATGATCCAAATGTAATCTAAATGAAAATTAAATCAATCGATAATCTATTGTATATCAAAAATGTTACCATTGCTATTCCAGAACCAATAAGACCATAGCCAAATGTACGTCGAGCACCATATCGATCACCTAATGAACCGAAAAAAGTCTATATAAATAAGAAATATATTTTTATATACATAAAATGTATTATTTATTTTTTTGTTATGTTACTTGAATGAGAGCATAAGGTAATAAGAGTGCTGTATCAAAAAGACCCAATTGAAATTTTGAATATTTATATTCATTCTCAAGATCAGTTTTAATCTGTAAAATCAAAATGAATATGAAAATAAACATAGAAAATATTTTATCACTTACTACTCCTAATGGTTTGCGTAAGAAATAAGTTAATCCATAAGCTGTCCATGCAACAGCAAATGAAATCCAAAGACGATTTTGAACAGTAGACATATTATCTGTTAATGATTATGACATAGATTACAACAAAATTATGTGATAACTTGGTCTACAAATAAATGTAAAAAAAAAGAAAGAATCATAATTGTTTATTCGAAAAAAAAACAGATTAATGATACATGTTAATTGATTAAAACAAAAACTAATTATTCAATAAATATACAGGTTACAACATTTTTATTTTTTATGATTATTTTAATGATTGAGTAGATTCGTTATTGTGCATTGTTATTAATTAATAATGTAACTATACTATACTACCAGCTATTTTTAATTAAGCCAATGTGACAGAAAAAAATTTGTTCATACAAACACATAAAATCTATTGAATTCGTTCGTACATTTCTTGTTTGACAGAATGGATCGTAGATTGTTTTCACTACAAAGATAGAAAATTCACAGTTCAAAAAGTTTTTTTTCTTTTTTTTTTGATCTATAGAAGAAAAAAAAACTAGTTAAATATCTCAGATAATGTTTTCAGAATCGTCTACGATACTTCAATTCATATTTTATTTTCATCTATAGGTAGATTACTATTTACCTTTTAGTTACTTGATACTGTTTTTCTTTTCATTCCTTAATCAAACGATCGTTCTCTATTTTTTTTGTAAGTTCTGCAACATTAAAATTATTTTATGACTAACAAATCAATGTTAAACAACACCGCTGCAGAAGGTTGTATATCTGCCATCCCGTAAATTTCATTTTCAATAGGAAAGGAAACTGGAGCACAAAATATTTCACATTTCTCTCCACTTATGTTGTTTTTTGTTGAATGTAAACCAAAAATTTTGAGAACTAACTAGTCTTAGGTGTCTATTACTTTTGAGTGTTTGAGTTAATAGTTATGGCATCTGTAATTTTTTTCTTTTATAAACACTCAATACGAGAAGTAATAGTGTAGATCGATACAGTTCTTCATGTTCTACAAAATAACATAGTAATAATGTTTATTTATAACTTCTTTCTTAGATTATACACGGTTAAATCCGTACAATATCGTACTCATTTAACCCTGTATAATCTAAGAGAGAAGTTATAAATATACATGATTACTATGTCATTTTGTAGAACATGAAAAACTGTATCGATCTCTGCTACTACTTTTTTTTTTATTGAATTCATAAAAGAAAAGTTTATAAGTATCATAGCTGTTAATCGAAACATTCAAAAGTAATAGACACATAAGACTACGTAGTCCTCGAAGTATTTGGTTTGCATTCAATAGAAAACAAAGTAAGTGGAGAGATATTTGAAGACTTTCGTACACCTCCCGGATCATTTAAGTTCGCTTATATGTCAACGTCAATTAGCTTGCATTTATGTCATTGATACGTTTTAATAATAAGTTTCGTCAATCGATCAACTTCTTTTATATCGTAATATGTTTTAAACATATTGACATTAACATATTTTGAAAACATTAAGGATGTTAATTAGTAAAGATAGAACAAGACAGAACATAAAAGTTTACGCATTCAGATAGATCATCGTATAGTGCGAATAATACATATAAATGCGCCATATTATACTACGAATAAGAACAGATATTGTCTGAAAAGAAAGATTAGAAATTAAAGTGATTGAAATACTACAATATTAAAAAAAAATCGATTTTCTTCTTAAATTTTTTAGAATAACTATTAAATTCATCGTTGATTAGTGAATACTTTATATTGATTAATTAAAAGTCTATAACAAACGATTTTTCTTTCGATTGCTAATTTAAATGTAGGATTTAATTTCGTCAAGACTTGTATTTTCTATTAAGCAACGCAAAAAATAAATCAATAAATTCACCCTTTTTTTATTTCATGTTTAATATGATCAATCTCATCATCATTTGAATATTTTTATTGCCATATTTTTCATTTCGATTTTTCTTCCTCTTGTTGTTCTTCTCGACTCAATTAATTTGGAAGCTCTCCATAACACAAAAATTGAAACAGCTTGTTATACAATGACAAAAGATAATATAAAATAATGCAAAACATCTTATTGTTTCTCGTTCTAAGGTATCATGCATAAACAATAAAGAATAGTGTGAATCAGCTTGTCTTGTTTAGTGTTTTCAAACATAAAACTTATATATTTATTCAAAGCATAATTTCAATGTCACTCTATTCGAAACTAAACAAACAGTCGAAGCTACATAACAGAATGAATAAAAAAAACGTTTACAACTTTACGTCTATTGACATATCGTGAAACAGCTGTTTTCCTTTAGCTTTCAATAGACGGTCAAAAATATCGATTGTATAAAATATTTTAATTTAAAATATATGGCTTGAATGTATTTCAATTGTTTTATTCTACCATGCATAAAGTGTTCGCACATATATGAAGACCTGCTGTATTCAAATGAAAAATGCTAGAAGCCTAACTTTTTCATTCAAAAAGAGACCAAACTATGTACTTTGAAATATATATCCAAAGTAAAAATTTACAAAGTATTTTAAGGTATTAGATTTCATAATTTTAAAACTAATAAAAATAGCTTCTTACGAAGGTTGAATAAATAATTTTTCCTTATCTTGACTATGAATTTTTTTGATGCTTCAAATGGTATTTAATGTTAAGTAGCTATTATAGCTATAATTGAAAAAAAAATTTAAGCCAAATGGATGGATTTCTTACAAGTTATTTGAAGTCTGGGATAACGTTAAAACTGACGTCATGTGCGATTTAGTATTCAATATTTGTTCTGCCATTAATAAGCTCAATACAATATATTATTTTTCTATTGCTTCATACATATTCTTGTAGACCTTAAAAAAAAAACTTCATATTTTTGGACATTTTTAAAAGTTTGTGTTCTTATAATTGTTTAAAACTTCTGTCAAAAGTCACGGTATTTACTAGTATTGTTTGTAACGTTAATTGTTGGCTACGCTGACTATACACAAAAATAGAAAACCGGTTTTCAGAAAATCTAGATTTCATAATCTTCTTTTTAAGTCAACATAATAAAAGTTAAAATAAGAAAAAGTGCAAAAATATTTATCATGATTAAAATTCATTTTTGAGAAGTTCTAAAAACAGTAGGACTATGTGTGAATGAAAAACTTAGGTTTTCAACATTTATGCATCGTATACTATATTTCAAATTTTTCAATTAGACATCTTACGAGCATTTTTCAATAATATGATTAAAATCTTTATTTCAATACTTTCATATTAAATTTAAAACATTCTGTTAACAAATTTTATTTCTATACTATATTAATTAAAATATGGGTTTATATTATATTTCTTCTTCTAATGACATAAACACTAAATATTTTAATAATATATCATCTTAAACTTTTCTAAGCGAATATTCAAGTAATGATATACGATGAGGTCAAATGTACATCGAAAGTTATTCAAAATTTAAATATTTGAATAATTTTTTTTGCATTACTTTAGATAAATTTAAAAGAAAATTAGTCACTGTTAAAAAATTCATTAAATGAGTATGTCTTAGATAAATATTTATATTGACCATGTATTGAAAAGAATTGTTTCAGATGTTAGTCTGGTTATAGAATATTTTCTATGCGAACATACTCATCATTGTATTAATTATATGAGAATCAAATCACATTCATTAAAAATAAAAATCAGATGTTGATAAGGTGTTCTTTTTTTCTTTTCAAATTAGATTTGAATTGATAACATGAAGTATAACATCGATAGAATCATTTATCTAAAAATATTGAAAAAATAAATAATTTATTATTAGAAAATTATATTTTTGACTACTTTATAAAAATCATTTCTAATCCGTTGATTCTATTCGATCATGAATAATAGATTAACAGTTTTCTTGTTTAACGTTACCATCTTTGGGAACCGAATCAAAGATAATAAATATTTTCATATCATTATTGCTATTAGTAAGTAATATATAATGATCATTTTCGTTATGCTTCAGATCCGAACATTCATTCAAAAAATAATAACTTGATATGGATCAATAAGAATAGTTGATCAAACAGCTTGAAAATTATTTAACGATAAGAGTATAACAACACAATTATGATTAAATGATTGGCAATTACATGCAATATTTATTTGAGATGGTCATAAATCTCATTTTGGATTTTCACTGGGGTACACTTATGAACATATTTTAACATCATTGATTGTTAAAGAATTTGCTTGAGGAAATCAATAATTTTTCCATAGCAGATAAAGTGATGTTGATAATGATGTAAACGTTACTTTATTTTTTTTCACTTCTTATTTGTTACCATGATGTCTACATCAAAACAATTTCATTAATATATTAGATCATTATGATTATTAATGAACATTTGATCCAGAAGCAAAACAATTTGTATTCCAATAGATACAATTTTGTTTCTTCATACGTAAAACAAATCGATTCAATGTTGTTTAAGAGTTTTGTATGTAGATACCATTGTGCAACAATTTTGCTCAACAGAAATATTACAGAAAACATGAAGGTAGTTAATTGGTTACCAAATTGAATAGATACTAAATTATTGGAAGAAGATGGCGCTAGAACATGCTCATAGATTCATATGCCATTCATTATTATTTCTTAAATGGAAAAATTTTCTTAAAAGATTATATAGAACATGATTGAATGTATAAGTATTCGCGAGAATATATTCAAATAATAATATCTTCTCAAAATGCTTTTCTTCACTGAGCTTTTCAAAATGCAAAAAGATTCCAGGATTTTTTTAGTGTTGAATTTACATTTTTCTACTAATTGTTCAACATAAATCTTTTAGTCAAGACTTATTTTTTTTTTTGTGCAATAAAAACAAAATTAAATTTATCTCATCTTTGAAGTTATATTGAAACATACTTTGTAGAGTTTCTCATGAGAAGAATCAATATATGTATTGGTCTTGATCTAACAGAGATCGCTATCATAGTAGGAATCATTTTGTGAGCGATTCTGAATAATTGAAAAAGAAGAAATGAATCAGCTTCTATTACTTTCGATAAGCTATTCTACTATAAAGTTTATGCGAACAATGGCTTTATATTATAGTTGTTTTTTCAAATTATAGATTGTACATTATGAGATGGACTGTCAAAATAGTAAATAAATAATGAAATACTTCTAGATTCCAGCAATTTAACATCGAATAATGTCTATGTCAATAATCACAATTTTATTTATTTACAATTAACTCGCGATACTATATAAGTAGCTAGTAAACCATAGTTTTGCGCTCCACATTGAGAATCGCATCGATCTATGCTATTCAAATGTTGTCTTCTACAATTCATTCGTCATATATGATGTCGACCAACACCTCGTCATCTTCATGCAAATGTCTACTTCTGGAAAAATAGAAACCACAACGAATAACCTTCGTTATATAGTTTACTCAAACACATAGAATCAATTAATCAATCGAGATGCTGCTCAAATTTTAACACTTGATGGTATTTATATAACTTATCAAATTCAGTAGAAAAATCATTTTATAGAACGAGAGTCTCAACTAGAATGGAGAAAATTATGGCTTCTTTAGATTAATTACATCTTCATCATGAGTATTTATTGTTTCTCAACTAACTGTTGGAATTGCTATGCATTTGCGTGCATTCTATTGATCACCATTAACAGTTGTCAAAGAAATCCAGATTATCATATATTTTCTGAACTATATTTAATTTTTGCATTGTTTAAGTCTGATTAAACTTCAATGTGATTCGAAACAAAAAATATAATCAAAAAGAAATTTGATTTCAATTAATAAATAGATATTTAAAAAAAACATTCCTAGAGAGGCTAACTAAACTGTAGTGTTTAAAAATTCAAAGATGAAAAGATTTGCATCAACATCCTTATAACTACTCTTCAATCACTTTGTAGTAGAATAGGTGCATACAAATCTTTGAAATTTTCTCGTCATAAATGTCTTTTCAAGTACAAATAATCTGATTAAATCTATTAGATCAGTTTATATCTACTATTTATTTAGAGACGTTCGAATAAAAAATGTTAAATATCTATTTTGTCGTCATAAAGATTATATTATTCATCGATTCGATATTTTCCAGTGCTAATAATAATATTAAGACGTATGAATGTGAACCGATAGATATGAATGTTGAATTGTTCATGTAGGGATGATATCGTGAGCATATTATTTAATGTTGTAAATAACCTGATATACGTTAATATACATACCTAAAGACTATAGTTCAATGTGATTGTATCTTTTATGATTATATTGTTATAAATGAGTCACTCATGTTCCTGAGACTATTGATTGTCTCATCAATACTTACAAATTCTTCACATCAACTTGAGTCGATGGCATACTATACTATACGTTCCATCAAAATGGTAGTAACTGTTGTCATACCAGTACAACTAGTGCGCTAAAAAAACAGCTATTGTATAACACTATTTCACTGGATACTATTTGTAACTCATGACATAACGAAATCAGATCCTAAAATTTACAAATCTAACATGTTTTCTTAATAAAAAAAATTGGTTGAATTATTATAAATAAATATATTGACAACAATGAATAGAACAGGCTTAGACATATCATACAAATGCATAATATTTTCTCTTCATTTGAGATAATCTACATAATGATGATGTACTACTTATGAAAACCATATTTGTACGCTGATTTCCATGAGTGCAAGAGTTAAGCTATTCCAAGAATTAATCAAATAATTGCACTTTTCAATATTATTATACAACGAAAAACCTGATCAATCGCTAGTACTGTTAAAAATGAAATATAAACTGTTTATTTATCAATTGATTCAACATGAGATCATATATTATTCCAATTGATGAAAGTCAATCACATTACAATTAGACCATATTTTACCTAGATTAGAGTACATTGTTCGACCACATAATCTTCTTCTTGAAGAAAAATCCCAAATGGTAGTTCAAAAAGAAAGAGAACGATAAAGCAAAAATAAAAAAAATAAGTTTAAAGATAAAATTTTATTAGAGAAAAAAAAAAACAAATGCCATAAAATTATTATTAAAGTGTAGAAAAATATCTTTATGACAAAATGCTATGTTACATTAAAAGAAAAACAAACAAAAAACAGTAGTAATCTTTCTTCGAATATATTATGTTATAGAAAATGCGTTTTATTGAATTGAAAACAACTTTCTTAATATCGAGTGAGATTAAGAAGGTTTTTCATAAACTATTTGAGTTCGTATGATAATATTCTGACGTGATAAACTTTTCATGAACTCAAGATGCTTTTACCCTGACAACAGATACTCTCGTGATATTTTCTCTATAACGATACTTTTAAAAACTTCTATCAATAAAAAAACGATCAACAACATATTGAATTTAGATGTAGACATCGTTTTGATCTTCCTCACTCTCAACACATCGCCTTGGTTATCATTGTAAGAAAATCAAGTGTCGTTAGAGAGTAAGTATCGCCAAAGTAGTTGCCTGGGTAACAACATTCGAGCTACTGTTTATTGTATGTATCTATTTTAAATTTGGAATAAGTAATTCATAACTGACAAAGCGCCTTCCTTCTTTCTGTTTTTTACCACTTTCTAGCCATAGTCTAATCTTTAGAGTTTGTGTTCCTATTTCTTCTTCAACAGCTTCTTTTCTTTTTCTACAAGCATGTCCATGGGAATGTTCATGTATTGGCGGTTGTGTACCTCCGTGGCCATCAGGTCTCGATGTGGGACCTAAGTCAATAGCAGGAGTATGATGTTCATTCGTTTTCGAAAGACGATGGAGAAGTCCTGTTTTAATCGTTGTATAAACAGATGGATTTTCTTCTTCACATTGTTCAAAATAGCACCAATTACGATTTGGAAGTAGTTTTTTATGCATCAGTTTTCTACCATTTTCTGGTAAACGTTGAAAAAAATCGATCACTTCTTCTTCTGTATTTTCTATAGGATGCCATTTTGTTTTAAAATAATGAGCTACACGAAGAAATTGTCGAGGTGGTGGAATATTAACAATAGCAGATGAAATAACTTGATACATTAATTTACTATCATTGATAGGTTCTAGACCATCTTTTAGTCGAGTTTGAAAACGACTAACACCACAACAATGTACATCACCACTAAAAAATGTTATTCTTACTTTTTTTCTATCTGCTAATTCTTGAAAACGTGATAATGCACGATTGCGTTCTTCAATATGTGCTTCATGTGTCCATTCATCAAGAAGATCATCATAGAGTTCAGGTAAACCAAATACTGAATTCGTTTGTTTAACAACTGGAACATTACGAAATTTATTGGGAAGATTTTTTAAACGGTGTAAAATTGATTCAGCTAATTTGAATCGAACAAATGAAAAAGGCACAGGAAATAAAACAATTAAATGTGTAATGTCCATAACATAATTTTCTAAATTTTCAAAAATCATATCCCAAGTTTTTGGGTGATGAACTATTTCTGTATTTCGTTCGGTACGTCCATCGCAGCCAATAATAACTAAATCAGGACCGCAATGTGCCAGAAAATTGTAACCTTGATATCCAAAGAGGCCATGTTCTTGTGCTTTTTCGAGTGTTGTATGATGTTGAAATAAAAGTCGAAGTTTTTGTGCTACTTTAAATAAACCTGTCATCATAGGACTATCATGTAGTAATGGAGGATATGAACCTGCACCATCGAATATATCATGATCATCCCACGTCATTAAGCTTGGTATTGATGCTAATGCATTTCTTACTTCCGAACGTTCCCAAGTTTGAACATAAGAGTTAAAATGATATTCTTCTACTTGATGTTCTAAATCTTTACGAAAGTCACATGTCCATTTTTCATTCCATTCCATATCGACCCAATCTTTTAAGTATGGAATATCTTCAAACATAAAATCCATATAATTTTGATCACCACCCCATAATAATATATGTAATGGTGTTTCATCATGAACAGAATTAAGATGTTCCCAAACATCATCAAATGTAAGATCGGAAATTTTTTGTTCTGGTACAGTAGAATCAAATCCATTACAAGAGAAGAATCCTCCACGCCATTTTTGATTATAACGAGCAATACGAAATAAACCATCTGTTGAATAATTACCCCAATCAATTTTCCAGCGAATTTCATCATCACCTTCACCATCACGTAGTTCAATAGATATATTAATTCGATAAGCTCTCATATTGAATATATTATCATAGAGTATTTCATAACTATAATCTAATTTTGGTTCACAAAAAAATTGAATTTTTGGTT